AAACCGCGACGCGAATGAGTCAGAAATTTTATTGTCGATAACTCCAAAACGGAAGATTTTATCAAAATTTCTTTGTTATTTTCGAGTTAAACATGTATATTTACACCTAAACGGATCGATTCGGGTAATTTTAATTAGAAACTGAGCGTGGATCTTGAACTGCAAATTACCCTTATGAGGTTCCGAGTTGAAATTAGTTCCGTCACCCTACACCATGTTTGTGTTTTAGCATCGTTACTGTATGCACGTGAAACGTGAGTTCTCTATGGTGATCACTTGCAGCAGCTTGAGAATTGTCTTAAAAATTGCATGTGTTGAACACGGGGAATCAACGAGAGAATGCATAGCAGCGACTTGGAAGTGTTTGAGTCGAACCAGTTTGACAGCATTAAAGCGAAACTTATGAAATATAGGATCTGTCGGAGTGGCCATTCCGCTTGCATGAACGACAGGAAGCCAAAACATGCTAACGGAAAGCGACAAGCCCATAAGAAAAACAAGAGTTATAAGGATGATCTGAAAGAATCATTGAACCTTGCAAACATCAGTACATTTGACTGGGGGTCCCAAGCTAATGGAAAGCGACCAGTCCATAAGACAAAACAAGCGTTATGAGAATAACCTGAAAGAATCATTGAACCTTGCAAACATCAGTACATATGACTGGGGGTCCCAAGCTAATGGAAAGCGACCAGTCCATAAGACAAAACAAGCGTTATGAGAATAACCTGAAAGAATCATTGAACCTTGCAAACATCAGTACATATGACTGGGGGTCCCAAGCTAATGGAAAGCGACCAGTCCATAAGACAAACAAGCGTTATCAGAATGACCTGAAAGAATCATTGAACCTTGCAAACATCAGTACATTTGACTGGGGTCCCATGATAACGGAAAGCGACGAGCCCATGAGAAAAACAAGAGTTATAAGGATGACCTGAAAGAATAATTGTACCTTGCAAACATTCGTACATATGACTGGGTGGTCCCATACTAACGGAAAGCGCCCAGCCCGTAAGACAAACAAGCGTCATAAGGATGGCCTGAATGGATTAGTGAACCTTGCAAACGTCAGTACATGTGATTGGGGGCTCCATACTAGCGGAAAGCGACCAGCACGTAAGACAAACAAGCGTCATGAGGATGGCCTGAATGGATTAGTGAACCTTGCAAACGTCAGTACATGTGATTGGGGGCTCCATACTAGCGGAAAGCGACCAGCACGTAAGACAAACAAGCGTCATAAGGATGGCCTGAATGGATTAGTGAACCTTGTAAACGTCAGTACATGTGATTGAGGCTCCATACTATCGGAAAGCGACCAGCACGTAAGACAAACAAGCGTCATAAGGATGGCCTGAATGGATTAGTGAACCTTGCAAACGTCAGTACATGTGATTGGAGGCTCCATACTATCGGAAAGCGACCAGCACGTAAGACAAACAAGCGTCATAAGGATGGCCTGAATGGATTAGTGAACCTTGCAAACGTCAGTACATGTGATTGGAAGCTCCATACTAGCGGAAAGCGACCAGCAGGTAAGACAAACAAGCGTCATAAGGATGGCCTGAATGGATTAGTGAACCTTGCAAACGTCAGTACGTGTGATTGGGGGCTCCATACTAGCGGAAAGCGACCAGCACGTAAGACAAACAAGCGTCATAAGGATGGCCTGAATGGATTAGTGAACCTTGCAAACGTCAGTACATGTGATTGGGGGCTCCATACTAGCGAAAGCGACCAGCACGTAAGACAAACAAGCGTCATAAGGATGGCCTGAATGGATTAGTGAACCTTGCAAACGTCAGTACGTGTGATTGGGGGCTCCATACTAGCGGAAAGCGACCAGCACGTAAGACAAACAAGCGTCATAAGGATGGCCTGAATGGATTAGTGAACCTTGCAAACGTCAGTACATGTAATTGGGAGCTCCATACTAGCGGAAAGCGACCTGCACGTAAGAGAAACAAGCGTTATAAAGGTGATCTGAAAGAAATATTGAACATCAGTACGTATGAGAGAGGGTCTAACGGAAAGCGACCAGCCCATAAATTAAATTAAAATGACTTGAAATTCTTACGCATTATGACTTCTGGGAATTCACGGTGTCAATGACTTGGAACATTACAGACACTAAGGCAGTGGTTCCAAAGCCTTTTCTTCTCTGGGCCTTTTCTTCCCTTGTCTTTCGCGCCTTACCAAAGGGAAGTCCCGGTGAAAAGGCGCAAGCGGCCCTACTGCAAAGAATGTCCAGAGATAAGGTTAAAGGGAGATAACCGCGGATACGAAGTCAGACCATTATCATTGATAACTCTCTCCTCCAATATGCGGAGTCTAGTTACTATATTCTTAATACTTGATATACTATGCAAAAATATCACAATGATAAAATCGGTCAATAATTATTTATGACTATTTATACTGTGACTCATGCCTGCAATTACAAGTAATCTATAACAATATTTGAAATTTTGAAATCATCTTTATTTTTGACATATGAATTTTTTGAAACTGTTTTTTGAATCTCTTTCAATCATTCCGCCTCACCGGCTATCCTCTTCCGCTGCACCGAAGAGACGTGCCGCACCGTTTGGAACTAGTGCCCTAAGGTAAGGTACCCGGCAATTTGATCATAGATACGGGCTACAGAGTATAAATGATCTACTATATAAAGTTTCCTGTTAGCAACAAAATGATCTTTTCCGCTGTTAGGAAATAAGACGAAACTGCTTCATTAAAAATTTCTGTGGATTTGAAATGAATGCATAGTCGAAAGACATTAAAGGATTATTATTCAATGTGCCATTTACCTTCAGCGAGCATGGCCCTCCACAGTTTCCTGTCCTATATAGCTTCTTGTTTTTTTGTTATCTCTTCTAAACCTTGTTTCACCATCCATTTACATCAGCTCATTCTTCTTTTATATGCCGTGTCCCTTTCGGAAGTTGGCGATCATGGCTCTCCACAACTTCCTGCCCTTTGTAGATTTTTTTGCTTTGTTTATTATCTCTCCTAAACCTTATTCCGCCATCCATTTACTCAAGCCCGCTAGGTAGATTATACGTTGTTTTCCTCTGGCCTTCATTCTGTCCTGTGAGTATCAGATTTTCCTAGCCCTCTTTCCTCATTATGTGCCTTAGAAATTTCAACTGTCACTTTCTGATGTTAAGTATTAGCTTCCTTTTTGTTTACATTTTCTCTAAAAGTTTGTCGATGTTCACATGTTCGGTCCATGTATCCTCAACATCCTTCTGCAGAACAACTTTCTGTTACTTCATGTATCGTCTTCATATGTGAGGAGATTGTCCAGCATTCACTACCGTATCAAAGGACTGATATTAGGTGTCAGTTCAGTACCCTCTTCTTTGTTTCTAACGAAGTTTTCCTGTTTCTTAATACTATGCTTAGCTTTTGGAAAACATCTTTCGCTATCCCAAATGCGCGTTCGGATTTTGGAGTCCCATTGTCTAAGGAATCAATGTTTTTTTTTAATTTTTAAATAGGTATTAGTTTTTATTATTCGAAACGTTAGTTTTAGTTGATACACGTGTTTGAATAGACGTTCTGTTATCTATATCTATCTATTTATCTATGTCAACCTGTTTACATCTATCTATCTATCTATCTATCTATCTATCTATCTATCTATCTATCTCAACCTCTTCATATGTATGTATGCATGTATCTTAGTTAATCTGCCTCTATCTCAGTATATCTCTCTTTTCATCTTTTTCAACCTGTTTTACATGTATCTATCTATCTCAGCCTGTTTACATCTATCTATCTATCTATCTATCTATCTATCTATCTATCTATCTATCTATCTCAACCTCTTCATATGTATGTATGTATATATCTATCTATCTTAGTTAATCTACCTCTATCTCAGTATATCTCTCTTTTCATCTTTCTCAACCTGTTTTACATCTATCTATCTATCTATCTATCTATCTATCTATCTATCTATCTATCTATCTATCACTCTCTTTCTTCCTTTCTTTCTTTGTTATTCAGTCTCTTCTTAGCTCTCTCTCCCTCTATCACTGTCTCTCTCTCTTTCTTTGTTACTCAGTCTCTTCTTATCTATCTATCTATCTATCTATCTCAACCTCTTCATATGTATGTATGTATGTATGTATGTATGTATGTATGTATCTTAGTTAATCTGCCTCTATCTCAGTATATCTCTCTTTTCATCGTTCTCAACCTGTTTTACATCTATCTATCTATCTATCTATCTATCTATCTATCTATCTATCTATCTATCTCAGCCTGTTTACATCTATCTATCTATCTATCTATCTATCTATCTATCTATCTATCTCAAACTCATCATATGTATGTATCCATGTATCTATCACTCTATCTCAACCTCTTCATATGTATGTATGTATGTATGTATGTATCTTAGTTAATCTGCCTCTATCTCAGTATATCTCTCTTTCCATCTTTCTAGGTTCATTTCTCTCTCACTCTCTCACTTTCTCTCTTTCCCTTTCTCACCTATTTACTTATATCTGCATCATCCTGATATACTTATACATACACAGTGACTCACTTATCCTTTTCCCATAGAATGACTCAATGATTTCCAACGATCCACGACTAATAGATCAGCGTCTCAGTTTCGATTCTCTCCTTAGCAAAACTCATAATCCTGATATCAGACACCCCAGAGACACGTCTTCTCGAGAGATTAGCCAAAGGACAACGTCGCCCCTTAAGGCAAGAGAGCCGAAGGACAAAATTCAGGATGGCGTTATGAGCCTTGACTGACGCCAAGTTACTAACAAGAGCGAGAAAAGCCATCATCGTCATCGTCGTCGTCATAATGATCTGATAGACTTACGTACTTGATTGACCCCTGTCTGCGCCAGGTTTTGGAAAAGTTAATGAAAAAACAATTAAATTGCTTAATGAACATAAAGTTACTTTTAAGTTTGGATTCGGGTGAATTAGATTTGCTTGCCATTCAGAATACACGGATATTTTGTTAGCGGATGGCATTTCTTTCCTTCCTTCTTTCTTTCTTTCTTTCTTTCTTTCTTTTTCTTCTTACGTTGCTCGCCGACATTTCTTTCTTTCTTTATTTGCTCACATTTCTTTCTTTCTTTCTTTCTTTCTTTCTTTACTTGCTAACATTTCTTTCTGTCTTTCTTTCTTTACTTGCTAACATTTCTTTCTTTCTTTCTTTCTTTCTTTCTTTCTTTCTTTCTTTCTTTCTTTCTTTCTTTCTTTCTTACGTTTGCTTGCCGATATTTCTTTCTTTACTTGCTAACAATTCTTTCTTTCTTTCTTTCTTTTTTCTTCCTTTCTTACGTTGCTTGCCGACATTTCTTTCTTTCTTTCTTTTTTCTTTCTTTCTTTTTTCTTTCTTTCTTACGTTGCTTGCCGACATTTCTTTCTTTACTTGCTAACAATTCTTTCTGTCTTTCTTTTTCTTTCTTTTTTCCTTTCTTACGTTGCTTGCTGACATTTGTTTCTTTCTTTTTTTCTAGTCTGTTCAAGTTTATATCTATCTATCTATCTATCTATCTATCTATCTATCTATCTATCTATCTATCTATCTAATTCAGCCTCTTCATATCTATGTATACGCGGTTGGTTTAATGAGAAATCAGATCGTTGGGACTTTTCATGAGGCATTTGCGACAACGTCTGCAGGTCAGGCAGTGAGCTTACTCAACCTCATAAAAGTAAGCATCCAGATAATAAGGCGACTGTCGGAAAACTCGCCTGCACACAACGCAGAATGGCTTACAAGTCATTGGCAGGTCATATACGCTTTTTTTAAGATATCATCAATGACATAAAAATCGCACCAATGTTTGTTTTCGAGTTATGAGTCATAGACGTGGTCTTACTCGGTTAGCCATCGACTTCCACTATCTATCATATCTATCTCCCTCACTTCTGTTGTTTATAGAAGTGTTTGGAAGGAAAGTGTGTAGAGTGTGGTCGTCTCACCATTACTTGGAAGGGAAGTGTGTAGAGTGTGGTCGTCTCACCAGTACTGGGAAGGAAAGTGTGTAGAGTGTGATCGTCTTACCAGTACTTGGAAGGGAAGTGTGTAGAGTGTCGTCGTCTCACCACATCACAGAGGTTCCATCAGTAAACATTGCTTGTGTTGCAGTTTTTGGCAAAGCACAACATTCACCAAGTCCGACAATTACTATATTTCCCAGATCTCGCCCATTGTGACTTTTTCTTTTCAAAAATCAAATCCCACTTGAAATCCCAAGCTTTCAAGACGTCGAGGAAATCCAAGCGAACGCGTCGAGCAGCTGCTAGCTATATCAAAAAAGGAGCTCCAGGGATGCTTCCATCAATGGTAACGACTCTGGATAAAGTGCGTGGTTTCAGAAGGGGACTGCTTCGAAGGAGATTACATGCTGAAGTGATATGTGATTTAGTTTTTCTTTTTATGGGTCCAGTCCCGATACTTTTTGAACAGACCTCGTATATTCGATAGTACATCATACAAAATAATAGTGTAACATAAACGCATACAGAGGTATACCTGTGTGTACTCGATGGTCGTTTACCACTAGGTTATCAATAAAAAAGATACATGCACAGGTATCCTTTTTGTTTTAATATCTTGAAGACGTACGTAAACTTACAAACTAATGTCAAATAGGGATATGGAATGATTGTGAAATATTTTTTCTGTAGGTATCCCAGGGTGGGTACGCACAGCTTGGGCCCTGTAGTCATCCTACTAGGAAGAGAAAGTTTGAACCTTTGAATATTGCTGTAAGAGAGAATCGGGCCAGCCCGTCCCCCTGCCTATTAGTGCTGTGACCAGGAGATTAGGGCAGAGTGTAACAGAGAATCGGGTCAGCCTGATAAAAAGACTCCGATTTGGTTGTATGTGGTATTGTAAGCACCAACAATTACGTCCTCTTCCACAATGGGCTGTTGAGAGAGAGAGAGAGAGAGAGAGAGAGAGAGAGAGAGAGAGAGAGAGTGCTCTCAACGCACGAGCGTGCGAAAACCAGACAAGATGAACATAAGCTATTTCAGCAGTTGACGGACGATGGCAGACCCCAAATTCGATTTAAAGTTAATTCCTCAGTTCGGCGGATCGGCAGTCGGTTTTCCAGTGGTTGAATGGATAGAGAAGCTTGAACTCGTTTTCAAGTTATGTGGAGTAAAGTCTTTGGAGATGCATAACGACAACACTGAGGATGAAGTACTTTCCCCACGGAGTGGCAACAATGAGGACGAAGTAACCACACTTCACCCCGTATATTAGTGCTGTGATTTGGAGATCAGGCGAGTGTAACAGAGAAGCGGGTTAGCCCAATAAAAGACTCCGAGTTGATTGTATGTGGTGTTGTAAGCACCAAGAGTTGCGTCCCCTTCCATAACGGGCTGTTGGGAGAAGATCTTCTGCTTAGTGTAGGTGGCGCTGCCTAAACTAAACAAAATAATGGTGACGACTTCACCCGAACAAACACCATGAAAGTATTTATAGAAAAGACACAGACAGGCAACTGTACGGTGGTGGGAAAGTGACTGAAGACGAGTAGCCAGATCAGGACCAATAATATTGCTGATTCTTCTTTGGATTTTATCAAGGATTTTTTTTACAATAAGGTTCACTCTGTACAAGGCCCGAGGGCCCCTTGAGGTAGAGGGTTTCGATAAGTGGGTAGATTATATGAAAGAAAGATAACGGTTGACTCTAGACATGAACAGGTTAAGATTGTAGTGATCGGGGAAATATACTCTCAGGTGTCTGTTTCATAGAGCAGTGGTTCGCGGGAAAAAACTTTTTCAGTGAAACATACTTCTCACTGATGAAACAAGGATGGAATTTAGTGGTTGTTTGTTACAATGCAAGTAGCATGGTGGGTCCTAGCCGTAAAGGTCAAACCTAGTGAAACCAGGAGATGAAGTCCGTCCGAGTACTTTCGATGGTAGTAGGGATAGGGCAGTCAGAAACTCTCCATATTCCGCCTATGAGAGAGAAGTAGCATGGTGGATCCTAGCCGTGAAGGTCAAACCTAGTGAAACCAGGAGATGAAGTTCGTCCGAGTACTTTCGATGGTAGTAGGGATAGAGCAGTCAGAAACTCGCCATATTCCGCCTATGAGAGAGAAGTAGCATGGTGGATCCTAGCCGTGAAGGTCAAACCTAGTGAAACCAGGAGATGAAGTTCGTCCGAGTACTTTCGATGGTAGTGGGGATAGAGCAGTCAGAAACTCTCCATATTCCGCCTATGAGAGAGAAGTAGCATGGTGGATCCTAGCCGTGAAGGTCAAACCTAGTGAAACCAGGAGATGAAGTTCGTCCGAGTACTTTCGATGGTAGTAGCGATAGAGCAGTCAGAAACTCTCCATATTCCGCCTATGAGAGAGAAGTAGCATGGTGGATCCTAGCCGTGAAGGTCAAACCTAGTGAAACCAGGAGATGAAGTTCGTCCGAGTACTTTCGATGGTAGTAGGGATAGAGCAGTCAGAAACTCGCCATATTCCGCCTATGAGAGAGAAGTAGCATGGTGGATACTAGCCGTGAAGGTCAAACCTAGTGAAACCAGGAGATGAAGTTCGTCCGAGTACTTTCGATGGTAGTAGGGATAGAGCAGTCAGAAACTCTCCATATTCCGCCTATGAGAGAGAAGTAGCATGGTGGATCCTAGCCGTGAAGGTCAAACCTAGTGAAACCAGGAGATGAAGTTCGTCCGAGTACTTTCGATGGTAGTAGGGATAGAGCAGTCAGAAACTCGCCATATTCCGCCTATGAGAGAGAAGTAGCATGGTGGATCCTAGCCGTGAAGGTCAAACCTAGTGAAACCAGGAGATGAAGTTCGTCCGAGTACTTTCGATGGTAGTAGGGATAGAGCAGTCAGAAACTCTCCATATTCCGCCTATGAGAGAAGTAGCATGGTGGATCCTAGCCGTGAAGGTCAAACCTGGTGAAACCAGGAGATGAAGTTCGTCCGAGTACTTTCGATGGTAGTAGGGATAGAGCAGTCAGAAACTCTCCATATTCCGCCTATGAGAGAGAAGTAGCATGGTGGGTCCTAGCCGTGAAGGTCAAACCTAGTGAAACCAGGAGATGAAGTTCGTCCGAGTACTTTCGATGGTAGTAGGGATAGAGCAGTCAGAAACTCTCCATATTCCGCCTATGAGAGAGAAGTAGCATGGTTGGTCCTAGCCGTGAAGGTCAAACCTAGTGAAAGCAGGAGATGAAGTTCGTCCGAGTACTTTCGATGGTAGTAGGGATAGAGCAGTCAGAAACTCGCCATATTCCGCCTATGAGAAGTAGCATGGCGGGTCCTAGCCGTGAAGGTCAAACCTAGTGAAATCAGGAGATGAATTTCGTTCGACTACTTTCGATGGTAGCATGGATAGAGCAGTCAGAAACTCTCCATATTCCGCCTATGAGAGAGAAGTAGCATGGTTGGTCCTAGCCGTGAAGGTCAAACCTAGTGAAAGCAGGAGATGAAGTTCGTCCGAGTACTTTCGATGGTAGTAGGGATAGAGTAGTCAGAAACTCGCCATATTCCGCCTATGAGAGAGAAGTAGCATGGTGGGTCCTAGCCGTGAAGGTCAAACCTAGTGAAACCAGGAGATGAAGTTCGTCCGAGTACTTTCGATGGTAGTAGGGATAGAGCAGTCAGAAACTCGCCATATTCCGCCTATGAGAGAGAAGTAGCATGGTGGGTCCTAGCCGTGAAGGTCAAACCTAGTGAAACCAGGAGATGAAGTTCGTCCGAGTACTTTCGATGGTAGTAGGGATAGAGCAGTCAGAAACTCTCCATATTCCGCCTATGAGAGAAGTAGCATGGTTGGTCCTAGCCGTGAAGGTCAAACCTAGTGAAAGCAGGAGATGAAGTTCGTCCGAGTACTTTCGATGGTAGTAGGGATAGAGCAGTCAGAAACTCGCCATATTCCGCCTATGAGAGAGAAGTAGCATGGCGGGTCCTAGCCGTGAAGGTCAAACCTAGTGAAATCAGGAGATGAATTTCGTTCGACTACTTTCGATGGTAGCATGGATAGAGCAGTCAGAAACTCTCCATATTCCGCCTATGAGAGAGAAGTAGCATGGTTGGTCCTAGCCGTGAAGGTCAAACCTAGTGAAAGCAGGAGATGAAGTTCGTCCGAGTACTTTCGATGGTAGTAGGGATAGAGTAGTCAGAAACTCGCCATATTCCGCCTATGAGAGAGAAGTAGCATGGTGGGTCCTAGCCGTGAAGGTCAAACCTAGTGAAACCAGGAGATGAAGTTCGTCCGAGTACTTTCGATAGTAGTAGGGATAGAGCAGTCAGAAACTCGCCATATTCCGCCTATGAGAGAGAAGTAGCATGGTGGGTCCTAGCCGTGAAGGTCAAACCTAGTGAAATCAGGAGATGAATTTCGTTCGACTACTTTCGATGGTAGCAGGGATAGAGTAGTCAGAAACTCGCCATATTCCGCCTATGAGAAAGAAGTAGCATGGTGGGTCCTAGCCGTGAAGGTCAAACCTAGTGAAAGCAGGAGATGAAGTTCGTCCGAGTACGTTCGATGGTAGTAGGGATAGAGCAATCAGAAACTCGCCATATTCCGCCTATGAGAGAGAAGTAGCATGGTGTGTCATAGCCGTGAAGGTC